TGTCACTGCTGGTGTCCGCCCTTTTCCGTTGGCCATGTAGCATTTCTGTTTATTTGTCTCCGAGGTCTGTCACTGCTGGTGTCCGCCCTTTACCGTTGGCCACGTAGCATTTCTGTTCATTTGTCTCCGAGGTCTGTCACTGCTGGTGTCCGCCCTTTTCCGCTGGCGATGCAACATTTCTATTCATTCCCCAAACAGTTTGCCGTTACGTAGGGTTTCTCAATTCTTTCTTAAGATGTGTCTGCCCTTTCTGTCACTGCTGGTGTCCGCCCATTTCCGCTGGCCATGGAGCATTTCAATTCGTTTGTCTTTAAAGTGATTTCTTTACTTTTGTCTCATTCATTTGTTTCCCATGTGGTTTCTGTACCTCCCCAAACAGGTTACTGTTAGCGGTTCTAAATGCTTTCTAAGAGTGTCCACCTCGCTGTCCGGCTTGTCTCTCTTGGTCTCCCTTCTTGTTGCTCACTGTGTCCCCCTTCTTGTTGGTCACTGTGTCCGCCTTGTCTCCCTTCTGTTTCCTTTTGTCTCCCTTCTTGTTTCCCTTTTTGTTGGTCATTGTGTCCGCCTTGTCTTTTGCCTTCTTGTCTCCCTTCACTGTGTCCGCATGTCTCCCTTCTGTCCCCCTTGTTGTTGGTTGCTGTGTCCGTCTTGTCTCCCTTCTGTTTCCTTTTGTTTCCCTTCCGCTTTGTCGCCCTTCTGTCTCCCTTTGTCTCCGGTCTTGTCTCCCTTCTTGTTGGGCACTGTGTCCGTCTTGTCTCCCTTCTGTTCCCTTTTGTCTCCCTTCTTGTCTCCCTTGTTGTCCTCCTTCTTGTTGGTCATTGTGTCCGCCTTGTCTTCCTTCTTTCCTTTACATGTGCCTCCTCTCTCCCCCTCTCGCTTGCAACCCTTCACATTTGTCTCCCAACTGCTCTGCCCTGCAATCCTTTACATGTGCTCTAGACTGCTGTATCCGCCTCTGCCTTGCAATCCTTTATTTGTCACCCAGCTCTGGGCTGCGTGTCGCTTGCAATCCTTTACATTTTTCTCCCTGCTGTGGCCGCCTCTGCCTTGCAATCCTTTGTCTCCCAGCTCTGGACGTCGCAAGCTCTAGTTGCAGAGTGTTCCGATTTTCAAAAAGACAAACTGTTTGGGGTCTACGGTGATGTAATCTGAATTTTCGCAAAGCAGAATATAGTCAGGCCGCTACTAGGGGCTCCTGGCCTTACTACTAGGAGCAAGAAGCTACTAGTAACAAAGGGCATCGCTACTAGGAGCAAGGACGTTTGCTGGTGGGTTTAGTGTGTCCGCCTCCTGGCATCCCAGCCTGGGTAGTGTGTCCAATCTAAGTCAGTTTGGGCTAGTGTGTCCGCATCTTTACATTTGTCTCCCAGTCTGGGCTAGTGTGTCTTTACATTCGTCACCGTCTCCTTAAGAGCAACTTTCTACATTTGTCTCCCAAAGCCCACCTTCTGGCAAGTGCTTAGTCGCAAGCTTGACATTTTCCTCCCAGTGTCCGCCTTTGGCA